TGGCCCGCGCTGGGCGCTTAGGCAACTGGACCGGGAGCTCTTCCTGGAAGCCGCAGTCGTGCAGGCCTGGGTGATACCACCGGTCAGGCCCGCCGACATAAACGAGGAGGCGAGATGGCTCCAGGACGCCATGTCAAGGTTGTGCGACGTGGCGATGCCCCGGATCCGGCCGTGCCAACGCAAGCGCCAGGTGTATTGGTGGTCGCAGGAATTGGCAGACCTGCGCGGTGAGTGCACCGCAGCGCGACGCCGATACACCAGGCACCGCAGGCTCCGTCTCCGCCCTCTGGACGCTGAAGCCAGAGAGGCAGAGCTATACGAGGAGTACAGGGCGGCGAAGGCCACCCTCAGGGTGGAGATCCGGCGGGCCAAAGATCGGGCCCGCGAGGAGATGTTGGAGACTCTGAACAGAGACCCGTGGGGACGCCCCTACCGGATGGTGCGTGATAAGCTCCGCACCTGGGCGCCCCCACTGACTCAGAGTCTCCGGCCGGAGGTCGTGGACGAAGTGGTTGGGGCGCTATTCCCCCGACCACAGATGGGTTACACGCCTCCGGCTATGCCCCCGCCCCCTGCGGTGCCCAATGCGGGCTACAACGACGACGACGATGAATCCGCTCCGGAAGTGACCGAGGTAGATTTGAGAGTGGCGGTGCGCCGGCTGAGCGGCAAGAATACCGCCCCAGGACCTGACGGGCTGCATGCCAAGGTTTGGGTCCTGGCCTCGGAGGCTCTCAGGCCTCGACTACTTGGTCTGTTCAGCGCATGTTTGGAGAGAGGCCAGTTTCCGCTGTCGTGGAAGACGGGTAAACTGGTCCTCGTGAAGAAGCCGGGGCGTCCTGCGGACTCTCCGTCCGCGTACCGGCCCATTGTGCTGCTCGACGAGGTGGGAAAGCTGTTCGAGAGGATAATCTCAGACCGCCTCGTCGGGCACCTGTCTGGAAGGGGGCCGGATTTAGCGGACGGCCAGTTCGGCTTCCGCAGAGGGCGCTCCACGGTGGACGCCATCATGCGCGTGAGGGACCTCACGACGGGGACAGCGTTGGCCGGGAGGCGAGTCGTCGTGGCGGTGTCTCTGGACATCGCCAACGCCTTCAACTCGTTGTCCTGGAGCTGCATTTTGGAGGCACTACGGTATCACCGGGTGCCTGCCTATCTCCGTCGTGTAGTCGAGGCTTACTTGACGGACAGATGCGTCATCTACCCCGGTCACCGGGGCGTGTGGAATCGGCGAGAGGTGTCGCGCGGTGTCCCACAGGGATCGGTCCTGGGACCTCTCCTGTGGAACATCGGGTACGATTGGGTGCTACGCACCGACCTCCCGAGCGGCGTCAGCATTGTCTGTTATGCTGACGACACGCTGGTGCTGGCGAAAGGGAGGTCGCATCAGGCGGCGGCCGACCTGATGTCACAAGCGGTTGCGACAGTCGTTGCAAGGATCCGGCAGTTGGGACTCGAGGTGGCGCTCCACAAGTCCGAGGCCATGTGTTTCTATGGCCGTCGGAGCGCGCCACCTCCAGGTGGGTCCCAAATAACGGCAGGAGGAGTTACCATCGGCGTCGAGTCGGCGATGAAGTACCTGGGTCTCGTCCTCGACAGCCGATGGAACTTCACGGAGCATTTTCGTCGTTTGGCCCCTAAGTTAGAACGGTCTGGGGCCGCGCTCAAGCGGCTCCTTCCCAACCTCGGGGGGCCAAACGCCTCCTGCCGGAGGTTGTATATGGGGATTGTGCGATCCATGGCCCTCTACGGTGCCCCTGTGTGGGCGCCGGCCTTGAAGCGGCGGCCGGCTCGTACGCTGGTCGCGTCCCAGAGGGTCATGGCTATTCGAGTAATCCGCGGGTATCGCACGATCTCCGGGGAGGCGGCGAACCTCCTTGCCGGATCACCGCCGTGGGATCTAGAAGCGAAGGCGCTCGCGCGCGTCTACAGTTTGCGCGCAGACGCGCGTCGCCGGGGCGAAGATCCTCTGCCGCGCCAAATTAGTGCGTGGCGGAATGAGCTCCGGCGAGATCTCATGGCAGAGTGGAAACAACGACTGTCGCAACCGAGGGCCGGGCACGCTACCATAGCAGCGGTAAGACCCCTCTTTGAGGAGTGGCTTGAGAGACGCCACGGCGTCTTCACCTTCCGTCTGACGCAGGTGCTTACCGGGCACGGCAGCTTCGGTAGGTTCCTGTTTCGGATTCAGCGGGAGGAAACGCCCGAGTGTCGTCATTGTGAGGACCACCTAGAGGATACGGTGGAGCATACGGTAGCGGTATGCCCTGCCTGGGCTGAGCACCGCCGTATCCTCAGGGAAGTGATCGGCGGCGGCGACCTCTCGCGCCCGGCCTTAGTCGAGGCCATGGTGCGGAGTGAGAGGAACTGGGACGCCGTCTCCTCCTTTTGTGAAGCAGTCATGCTCGCAAAGAGAGAGGCGGCCCGCGTGAGGGAGCAATCCTCCTCCTCACGCCCCAGCAGCCGCAACTGGCGACACTACGGGCGTCGGGGATCGAGGGACGATCTCCGGCCACCGTAAGTACGGGCCTGCGGTCGGCGAGTAAGGGCAGCTCGCCGCCCGACCAGAACCAGGCCCGAGCGTACGGCGCGTAGCGTTCCGCGCGCGCCTCAAAGAGCCAATAGACCACCACAGACGGGGCCCTAAAGGGCTGATGTTCAGCCGGGGTTGCGGGGTAAGCACAATGAGGTACCGCGACCTCGGCACAGAGCAGGAGAAGGAACAGGGGGGTTTTTAGTCAGTAAGAGTCTGACACTCCCTCCTGCCCGGCCCTGGGCGGGAGAAGTCATTTGATGATTTTCCCCTCACAAAAAAAAAAACACTGCTGGTCATGAATATGGGCAGCAGGGCCTCTAACATGGCTTGAAACTAGTCAAGTATCTCGTCTAGTTTCAAACCATGCTAGAGGCCAAATTATTACGTGAGTAAGCCGAAAACATAATAATTAATAGCGTAGCCACACGTTACATATACCGACCTATCGTAGCACTTTGACAACGTGTGACTACGCCTTTCAGTATTCTGGAAATCTTGTTTGATACTTTTTCAGCGTCGTTTTTTGTCGAAGTTGGGTTTTAGTTTTTATATTTTTTATTATTGCGTTTGCATCTGTACCCCGGCTGATAGGCATAAGGTACATATACTGAAGATTACCTTTGATACGATGTGTATTTACTTGGCAACGCGGTTTCTTGTAGAACAGTTTGCTAGATACTTGAATGTTTTGTAATTTGCACATTTCTAAAACATGCCAAATGTCTGGTTATCCTAAGTGTGGGAGAGTCATGCTTTGATTCGAATGTATCGACTTGGCTGCAGTGATTCCACGGCCTCACAGAATACCGGCGTAAAATAACGCTACAATTGTAATAATAAAAGTCGTGGTGGCCCGGAGGTTAAGGAGCCCGCTTCTCATGAGGGTGTTCGAAACCTGGCATGTACCAATGTGAATTTTGCCGGGTTATATGTACTTTCTATGATTATTTAGACACCACTGACATACGGTGAAGTTAAACATCGTGAGGAAACCTGGACTTATAATTTCGAATTATGGACTTATAACTTATAATTTCTAATTATAACTTTTAAATCGCCAAACCGCATTGAGCAAGCGTGGTGATTAATGCTCTAACCTTCTCCGTATGAGAAGAGGCCTTTGCTCAGCAGTGGGCACTTATAGGCTAATGATGAATTGTAATAATACGCCTTGTGAGTCTGATTACCTGAGGCCTAGTTCATTCCCTGAATGGGCTGGGCTAAGAATGATTGCATCCTTGATTTCGTAATCTTAAAATACGTAACAAACCGAATACGGTAGTAACGCACTTGTTACTCTTGTGTTGCGGGTGTCCATTTAATACTATAAAATATAGAAATTTTGTTTGATGGAAGTAATAATTTAGCAAACATACTATTTTAATAAAGAAGGCAGTTTAAAATTAACTTTTAAACATATTTATAAAGCTACATAAGTTAGTAAGTACCTATATATATACTTACGTACCTGTAGTCCAACAATAAAATACCTAAATAAACTTTATCGTCATAACGTTCGCTAATCGCAATGAAATAAAATACCTATTACGATGAAATACGATTTATTTTCCTCTGCCAACATTTGAAGTGTTTTCAAGGGATAATTAAAAAGTTGTAGTATCGACAGTTGTAAAGATAGATGGTCAGTTTAATGAGCAACCGGCTCTTGTACGTAACAAACTTTTATCTTGTTCCATTTCAAACGGAAAACGTTTTGTGAATAAATACTTTAACTTATATTTAATTAAGATTCCTTTTCGATTGCGCATTTATATAAGTAAATATCAGAAAAAGTGTACTGTTTCGACAAATGATGAGTTTTGTTAATATTGATCAAAGTATTCCTATTCGTAAGAGAGAAAATCGAAGCGTTGGTTCCAAATTATTTAGGAAGAGACCAACAGAAAGAAAGGCTAGAGGTAATCCAATCTGTATAGATATTTCTATGCGAAATCAGAACACAGGCTGTAGAAATATCAGCCGGGGTTGCGGGGTAAGCGCAATGAGGCACCGCGACCTCGGCCCAGAGCAGAAGAAGGAACAGGGGGGGTTTTTAGTCAGTAAGAGTCTGACACTCCCTCCCGCCTGGCCCTGGGCGGGAGAAGTCATTTGATGATTTTCCCCTCACAAAAAAAAGACTGTAGAAATATTGAGTTGACATAAAATGAATTTATTTGTTTATTTTTACGGTAATGTTTCAAGGTTATCTGAAAATTTATAAGCTTGATATGGAATAGTAACTTTATGGTAAATACCTATTTTAACTATTAATGATTCGGCTGATGGCTGGTGGTTAATAACCGTGTCCGTATGAGAAGAGGCCTTTGCTCAGCAGTGGGCACTTATAGGATGATGATGATGATTTGGCTGTTTTTTGGACCGATCTTAGGGTCGACGGCGGGGTCAAATCTATTATTAAGTATTAAGATTCATTTATTTTTTAAAACATGTTTCTTTTTTTTAGGCGTAGAGTCAGCGAAGGTGGAGGAAGTCACGGCCGCGCCAGTCCCGACCGAGTCGGAGGCGCGGTCCAGCCGACCCACGCACTGCGTGGTCGGCGGAGCGCATGCCTTCATACTAAGGGTAAGATCTCCTTCGTTTTTATGTAGCTCTAGTACTTAGGTTCGCTATAGGGCAGGGGGAGGAAATTACTGGTCCATTATTTGTAAGTAGTAGTAGATTTGTAATGGACATTTCCAGGCCAAACGCACTGCGTTGTTGTTAGAGTGTATCCCTTCATGCTAAGGGTAAAGTATGGTGTCGCTGATGTTTATATTGTCCTAGTAATAGAGTCCGCTAAAGTAGGGTGAAGAAACTCGTCCAATTTGTAGTAGTCGATTTTTCAAGATTTCTAATGGATCTTCCGTTTCTACCGCAATGAATTTACTAACGCACTGCGTGAACGGTGCGCGGTGGCCCGTTCATAATATTCATGCTATGAGTATAAAATCTATACTGATTATGTAGTCCTAGTAATTAAATTCTTTTTGTCAGATCAGAGATCAGGTAGTAAAACAGTAGTTATTAACATTTATGAATAATTAAGTCCGCCTAAAAAGGGCGAAGAAAGGCCGTCCCATTTGTGGACACTCTGCGAGAGCGCGTATACTTTTTTATGTGATGTTTAAGTCAGAGAATTTCTGATGTATTTTGATGCATTTGGGACACGGAATAGACGTAACCAGATGTTTAAAAGAAGAAGTGAAGTATCAGGATATCAGCTGGTGAGCATTCGAATAAGCGATAAGCACACGCGACAACTGAATGTGGCTCAGCCGACACCAACTCCTCACGACCTACAATTTAAAATAAGATAAGACGGCAAGCAAACATACGTTTTACCTGATGGTAAGCAAGTAGCCCCGCCCATGGAAAACAACGGAAGAGTTACAAGTGCGTTGCCGACCCTTTGGGTATTTAAGGATTGAAGGAAGGGATTGATTGATCAAAGGAGGGATTGCGCCTCCGGTAACTTCAGTCACACGGCGAAACAACGATTACGTGAACTTTCAAACTTAAGTTCATAGTGCTAGTAATTGTTTCTTCTTAAGTAGGGGATTTCCTCACCTTTTAATTTTAGTTATCGTTAATAATATACCGTTTCTCTTTGCAGATATCAAGTTTTTTCGGGTTGGCTCCCCTGCGGTTCGAAGCTCGAAACAATGGCTTCACAGTCAGCATATCCAGTGCTATGTGTGTCTACAGCTACATTTTAGTTACAGTTTTAGGTAAGCAGGTACTTTTATACACATACAAAAAAAAAGTTGGTTCAATTATGTGAGAACAGGGTAACACTAATATTGATTTAGAGGAATATAAAAAGAAAATAAGTTCGTGGATTTCCTGTAAGCAATTAGCGACGCCTATGGACATTCGAAAGAACAGAAGTGTTACGATTGCGTTGCCGACCTTTTGAGATTTAGGGATTGGGTTTTGGGATTAGGCCCCACACCCTAATCCCTACCATACTGGGCGTCCGAAAACCTCACTAACACGGCGAAACACAACGCTGTGGCTGCTCCACGCCGGTTTTCTGTAAGGTCTCGGTATCACTCCGGTCAAGCCTACACCCATACGTGCCGAAGCTCGACTCTCCTTCACTTAAAAATAATAATGTTTCAAAAAAATAAAAATGTTGTAACAAAAACAATTTGATTTAGAAGTCTCTGGACTTTTCACGAAAATTTCCGCAAGTTTTCTATTATATCAATTCACTTTAATGGAAGTTCGACAAACAAACATTTTTAGATAGAAAATAAACTTTGCTTAAATATTTATTAATTACTTATCTTCAATATCAATTTATTTCTTACACCTTTCGTATTTCCAGTTATATGCACAATATTCGGCTTGGTAGCCGAAATAAATGTGGGCGTGGAGTTGTCAGTGCGCATGTCTTCGCGCATGTCTCAAGTGGTGTCGACGTGCGACGTTTTAGTTGTGGTCGCTACCGCCGGTGCAGGAGTCTATGGAGCGCCGCAACGGATGAGAAACATGTTGAAGTTCATGGAGAATATTGCTTCGGTGAGTAGAACATTTTGTAGTGGAATCATAATTGCATCTTTCTTATGTGATAGGTCGGCAAACGAGCTAATGGATTACCTCATTTAAAGCAATCACTGCCGCCCATGGACGGAACGGAAGAGTAACAAGTGCATTGCCGACCTTTTGGGGATTAGCGATTTGGGGATTTTGGGATAAGGGATTGGGGGAGGGGAAGGATTGAGCCTTCGGAAACCTCACTCACGCGGCGGAACACAACGCTGTGGTTGTTTTACGCAGGTTTTCTGTGAGGTCGTGGTATCACTCCGGTTAAGCTGAACCATTCGTGCCGAAACATGGCACTCCTACACTTCTCCACTCTTCATAATTATATAATGCAAGTAATCAATCAAGTAATCGAATTCAGTGTCCGTTGTCCAGCGCTTGTGAAAATGTACCAGGGGCCAGCATAACCGAGCGGGTAGTTTAACCATTCTTATAATTTCGGCAGCAAACAGTTCGCGGACTTGGCTAATTAATATTTCTGATAATTTCAGGTGGACACCAGTATAGGTGGGCAGTATTCGCTACTGACGGAGCGCAAGCTGTGCGGCATCATCCTGGCCATCCTTATCTTCTTCTCTGTCCTCATCGCTGACGACTTTACTTTCTACGCTCTCCAAGCCAAGAAATTGGATCGAGAATGTACGACTTTTTCATGTTTGCAGTATTTTATAAGGTCGTCTTTTTCCAATATGGAATGGTGTCTTGTTGATTATTCTCACTACCTGATGGTAAGCAATCAACGCTGCCTATGGATACTTCTAATATCATAGGAGTTACAAGGAGTTGCGTTGCCAGCCTCTTGTAGGTTGCTAGGATTAGGTAGGATTTAAGGATAGGAGATTTGAGGAATGAGGATGATAGGTGGGGAATGGATTGCGCCTGAGGTATCCTCGGTTACGCCGTTTTCTGTAAGGTCATGGTATAACTCCGATCGAGCTAGTCTATTTTTTTTTCTTTTTACTTTCTATAAACTAGTGCTTGACTGCGATCTTACCTGATGGTAAGCAGTGATGCAATCGTTGATGGTAAGGCGCACTAGTTTATTAAGAGCCTATTCAGTCTAGCCTTGAAGACACCTAAATTATATTTGGACGGAAAGACTGCAGCCGGCAAACTGTTCCAATCCCTCGATATAATTGGTATAAATGACGAGGCAAAGCGCTTAGTCCGGACCGCAGGTGTCTCAACAACGTAAGGGTGGATTTGCTCGGAAGTATGCCATACTTCTGAAAATTTGTATAACTATTAAAACCAAGGGTACAAGTAAACCTTCATGCGCAAAAGGTAGTGAAACATTTTTTATAACTCTGTTAACGCCATATTATGCATTGTCCATATTTTTTTTTGTTATTATCACGTGTAAACAGATAACACATATTTTTTTACCATGTTTCAGGGGACGTAGTGACCAACTACCTCGGGTTCTACCTGCTATGGTTCGTCGTTCTGATGCTGGAGTTACAATTCGCGTTTACCGCTTTATCAGTGCGAGCGCGGTTCTCAGCTGTCAACGACGCGCTAGCACTTACTGCTAGACAAGTCTCCGTTCCTGGTAACTGGATTTAAAAAATGATACTGGTGACATTTTTGTTATCAACCCGCATCCGCCCGCGACTTCACTCGCGTGTAAAAAGTCTATGTGTTAATTAATTAACCTACATATTTGATTCCAACCAACCACTGACCAGCCGTTTTTGCGTGAAAGAATAACAAACACACATATACATATATATAATAGTACATTCTCACAAACTTTCACGTTTATATTCGTAACATTATATACAACATTACAAGTAAATTGAAGTAAAAGAAAAATGTTTTCAACAGACTTAGTTTATTCAGCACCAAACTACAATCACGACGCAATTTCATTTCATTTTTCCAGTAGAGAAACCGAAGAGCCCGTCGTCTCTTAACATTTATGCGATCCGGGTAGCGCCGGCTGACTCGGCGCGGTCAGCTAATGTCAGTCTTCTAGTGGAAACCATGACTGGCAGAGAACAGGTTGTCATCATCAAGAGAACAGGTTAGAATAAAAATATTTATTTTTGTTTAAAACATTCAATGAAACTGTCATTTAATGCTGGGTATTATAAAATAAGCCGACATTGCCGCAAGACAATGGTCGTGGTGGCCTGGAGGATAAGGAGTCCGCTTCTCATACATGAGGATGTGGGTTCAAAACCTGGCAAGTACCAATGTAACTTTTTCCGAGTTATATGTACTTTCTATGATTATTTAGACACCACTGACATACGGTGAAGGTAAACATCGTGAGGAAACCTGGACTTATAATTTCAAATTATAATTTTGAAATCGCCAACTTGCATTGAGCAAGCGTGGTGATAAATGCTCTAACCTTCTCCGTATGAGAAGAGGCCTTTGCTCAGCAGTGGGCATTTAAAGACTGATGATGATTATAAAACAAAATAAACCAAATTTACGACATTCAAGACAAATTCAAGAGGAATATAAGAGAAATACTTAGGTACATAAAAATCTCAAGAAATACATTACGTACAAACTGGGAAACATAGAGGTCCTACATAACCAACATTATGACTATGTATATAAACCGTACACTTAAATAGGAAGATCCTTTAGAAACATCCTTTCGGATGAAAATATAAATACCAGAAAATAATTATCAACATATTGTTGAGATCTTGCATAGATCACGAATTGTTAAAAGTCAGCTTTATACCCGCAATAGTGTCCATTATTTCAGCCAGCGGGGAACCTCGCCTCATTGTGTCTCCGTGTGACGCGGTCCGACGTCTTGCAGCGTTACATGGCACCCTATGTGACGTTGTCAACAGTATAGATGACAGCTACGGGTTACCTCTAATCGTGGTCCTCATTTCCACGTTACTTCATCTCATAGTAACGCCATACTTCTTGATTATGGAGATAAGTAAGTATTAAGAAATCTAATTACCTGAGTGAAGTTTCACCCAGTGAAGTCAAACGAATAGCAGAGTGGTTTTGTTTCAAGTTATTATTTGATTGTTGTTGTTTACAAAGACGAACTTGTGTTGACCTCTGAAAATGTCATGCGAGCCTGGTACCTTTTTTTTTTTGTGAAAGGACTGACCTGATCGTAAGCAATCGATGTCTCTCATCAACACCTGCTGCAGCACCGAGGAGTTACCAGTGCGTTGCTGGCTTTAGGGATTAGGGTTTCGGAGATTTAGGGATTGGCTAGGTCAAGAAGTTCTGTGGGACAAGACACATTATTTACACAAATCCATTATGCCTTGTACCCTTTCCAAGCAGCAAATTAAGAAAATAATGTAAATAAAAAAATGTTATTTATTTCCAGTTGTGTCTACGAATCGCGTACATTTCCTAGTTCTGCAGTTCTTATGGTGTGTGACACACATGCTTCGCATGATCGTCGTAGTAGAGCCCGGACATTATACGATTGCTGAGGTAAGGCTCCTTCATTTTTTATGTGGTGAAACGACTAGATGGGTATCCTGATCGTAAGCAATCGGCGCCGCCAAAGGCCGTGGCAGGCCTTTTGGGGTTTAGTTTTGGATAATTAAGGATTTGGGAGAGATGAGGGCGGGGAAGGATTGGGCCTCCGGTAGCCTCCGGTTTTTAGTGCGGCCGTGGTGTCACGCTGATCGAGCCGATCTATTCGTGTTGGAGATTGGCTCTTCCACATTTTAATGTTTAATGCCACATAATTATGCAATTATACGTAGCAAATTCTTAATTTCATTATTTAATGCAACTTAAATCAGTAATTTGAAAGAAATACATCATCCAGTCACTGTTTATATACTGAAATAATAATTTAAAAGGGACATAGTTTATCACAATAACGTTTAATAACAATTTGCTTGTACCAGGGCAAAAGAACGGAGGCGTTAGTATGCAGGCTGATGACTTCAGCGCCATCTACCGGCGTGCTTCCGTCTAGACTAGAGATATTTTCGCGACAACTGATGCTGCAGTCAGTCAGCTACGCGCCAATGGGAATGTGTACATTACACCGACCGCTCGTTGCTTCTGTAAGTAAAAATTGTATAAAGTGTTACATTAAGATTTAAACTTGGTAAATGTTACCATTAATTAATCCAACAGTTTAGGAAAGGAGAGATTACGATGCAGATGGAAAACATCGGCCAGACTTACTGAATAACATCATATTTATTTGTAGTTGAAATAAAAACTACATGAAAAGTTATGAATGAAAAACAAAAACTTTCATAATTTTAACTATGCACTCACTTCAGTCTAGTTAAGGTCGAAATTATATTAAAAACAACTTACAAGGATGTTGTAAACTAACACAGTAATAAGTCTTTGTCTTATTTTACTTTGTCAACAGGTGATTGGTGCAGTAACAACCTACTTGGTGATTCTCATACAATTCCAAAGATACGACAGTTGAAAATAAAGGACGTTAATTTAATTAAATAATTCATCTCTAGTCACTTCATGAGTTCCTAGTACATATTTTACATGTTTTGTAAAGAAGTAAAGAGCATAGTTAGAGTCCGTCCAGCGAAATGAATTGCGTATTTACTTCGCAATATAAAAAATACCTGCTACCCTAGTCAATAAAATGTTGCATTTTGCAGCATATTGCGAAATCAGTGGTCTCTACTTGTGTCATTGGGTCGCGTGTGGACAGGAACTGACCCTTATGGACACATAGTGCATAGATCTAACATGCGATAAAAATCTGTACGACAAATTTGACTCACCACAGTGCGAAATTAAATTTGCACGTATTTTATATCGTTGTGCGGACAGGTAATGAGAAGAAATTAAGAACGGGTGTTTTGTAAATAAAATAATTAGAATACTTCTAAGTTACTTTATGTAAGTTTCTATGTAAATAAAGTCTATGTTTGTCAGTTAAGAATTTTATTAAAACAATTGTTAAACTTTGCCTGCCTTTGCGGCTTTTGAGCTACGGGTTCCGGGTTATCGTTGATTCGAGTAGAGCACAATGGTGTATTTTTCGGTTTTCCTTAAAAAAGCTATTAACTGGAGTTATGCCCGCTTCTCATGCATGAGGGTGGGTTCGAAACCTGGCAAGTACCAATGTGCCTTTTTTCGAGTTGTATGTACTTTCTATGATTATTTAGACACCACTGTCATACGGTGAAGGTAAACATCGTGAGGAAACCTGGACTTATAATTTCTAATTATATGTATAAGTTTGAAATCGCCAACCCGCATTGAGCAAGTGTGGTGATTAATGCTCTAACCCTCTCCGTGTGAGAAGAGGCCTTTGCTCAGCAGTGGGCACTTATAGGCTGACGATGATGATGATGATGACGATGATGATGTCCTCGATGGCGATATGCTTTATTGTTTGGACTCATAACGTAATACATGCCATCATATCATCAGCCGTTCTTCTAAATTACCGTATCTATCTCCACTTTTCCCTAACACTTATGATAAAAAAGGTACAATATTATGGAATATTAAGAAAAATTGAATGAAAATAACCAATTCTTTTCTTATTTCCTCTTCAAGTATAAAGCTTAAATGTTCGTTGTAAACAGTAAGCGTTATAATAAAACAGCTAAAAGCATGTTGAGAACAGCTTGTGGTCGTTTTGAAGATTGCAAGCTTCGCAAGCATGTTGCATGCAGAAATGAGGCAAATATTAAAGTTTCGGGGTGCCACTGGAATTTGTAGATATCCTTTATGAAACATATACAGCATATTATAAAGAAAGATTTAAACTTAAATAGTTATTAGGCGAGGCCTATGTTTAGTAATGTAACAGTGGTTTATATAACAACATAATACATAACCAATGACATCAAAATCAAAGGATATTTTCTATTACCATTACACATCTGAGAAAACTAAAAATCAGCAACACTTTAAATAGGACTGTTCTTTTCTACATTTTATATGTCTGCATTTTATATTTACCAATGTACTACCCATAATCTTGTAAAAGCCATGCTTTGGTACACAGAAAATTACCCTGAATCAGCACTCCCATTGGGTGTCGTCATGTAAGCAAGGTAACCGGAGGTCCATACTCTTTCTTCCTCCAATTCCTAATTTCTTAACCATCTACAACGCCCATCGTCTCCTGTTGCAGGTATCAGGGCCCATTTCTTATAATCAGGGTATCAGAATTTTGCGTATATTATTAAACATAATAAAAAAATGTTATTTACCGGCTTGTTATAAGGATAATAGAACAAACTTTTAAAAGTTAGTAATTTACTTCCCAAATACAAACCGAACAATGTTGATCGAACATAAAAAAAAATTACTTACAATTACTGAGATTGAAGCACAGAATATCCTATTCTAACTCACTCACTTTGCCACATAGTTCGTTCGTTCGTGAACAAATGAATGAACGATATAGCTTTCTATTTAACGTTGAACATACATTAAAAGTTACTCCGTACTGTTAATTTTAACTTCAATGTAAGGTGCCTGCTATACAGATAGCGGATAGCGATTTGAGCACACGTAAGTTGTGTTGTAGCCTCGGTCAAAGAAGTTCGAGCTCGATTCATAGATTTGGCAAAGTACCATTGGGATTTTAATCTGCTTTCAAAATACTTTATGCATATAGAATTGAAAATATATTATAGGAGTTAAATTGAAGCAGTGAAAATAAATAACATTTTTAAATCAATATACAATTCTTATGCAAATTATCGACACGGGCGTTGTCTAAGTACTTCAAAAAACTATTGAAAACATAATTTTTTGTCCACTCTGTTCAGAGAAAGGATAAAAACGAGTAAAGAGATTACTGAGTTATCACTACAAGCTTCAGCGATTTCTGCTCTCCAAAATCCGCGATCTTTGTGACAGCGACTTTACACCTCGCATAGTTTTAGTACCGGCTACTAAATAGTTGAACTTTTGTTCTGGCTCTGAGCTAAGTGAGTTCAGAAGATAATTTTAACGTAGAGTATGTAGTTTTGTATATGTATTGTTTCATCGCTCGTTTTTAGTTTCACTAAAATTCGTTTTTCGGTTCGGGTACTGTTGATACGTAAATATTCATTTTAAAGGAAAAACATGACCTTTATCTGGATATGTAAATAAGTATAAGCTGAACGATTGATGTGAAAAATAATCATGCAAAGGCAGGGTATTTTTGGTAGCATGATGAGTCATGATGAGTAGCCCTGTGTTTCTCAAATCAACAGTAGGCGATGCCCACTCTTGGATTATGGGATTCCTATACTTTGCTGGGATTTTCACTAATCTCCACGATTGGCGGTATACAACGGTCAGCGTGTAGGAGCGTGCCCACGATACCAGGCATCCATAAGTCTGCTGGAGTCGCGGGTGCAAGCGCAACAATGTACCGCAGCCTTGCCTCGGCAACAGAAGCTGGAAAAGCAACAGAATGACTTTAAGTAAGTAAGAGTGACACTTCCTCTCGTCCAGCCATCACCCAGGGTGAGAATGGTCTCAAAAAAAAGCATCCTCAACGGTTGTAATATATCTACTTAGCCTCCATCTTATTTTAGTGTTTACACTTCTCAACAGGGTGCCTAAACAAATACAAAACAAAAGCATTAGAGGCTTGGGTTTATTCAGAGACACGAGTTGTATTGTAAGCGTACCTATTTACTGACAAAAGGTATTATTTTCTGTGTGTTGTCTTAACGAATTAAAGTAAACATACCTTCACTGCGTAGGCTTAGTAGGTATGCAAGTACAACTGCCCTGTATAGCCCATGGCTGTAGACTAATCATGTAGTTATTTCTGCAAAATATACTCTGGTACAAATATCCTTTAGATATTGGCAGGCGACACATTATTTACTTAAAATTGCTTAGTTTCCATCACGTTATACAACAATAAAAGTACTTCAAAAACCATACACCTTTCTTCATAGTTTCTAAGATGTAATTAATAATCGTATTTTTTAAATACCTTACTTAAGAGAAATAACTGTGCTATTTGACGCAAAATAATTATGACGTCACAAATGTTAATAAAATCCGAAAAAGTATTGAATTTGACTAGTCGGAAACTTCCCCATTGTTCTCTGTTCTGTATTCTCTGGAATACTTATTAGAATGAGACTTTCAAAATAGTTGACTGAGCTAATCATTGTTCGATCGAAATGTTAAGTTTAAACAGCGTACCTAATAACACAGCATTTTGTAATAACACCATTGCCTATCTTTCGATCGATGAAAGATAATCTTAAAATATTATTGTTATAGTGAATGAAAGCAACTAAAACAAAGCCAACAAAGAAGAAGCTAATCAAGTGAAATATATTAGTTATACCGATATTAATTAACTTGGAAACTCGAAGTTAATCCGAGTATGATAATCTCCCAGCAGATGTTCAAGCTACTGACAAACTTGCACTACTATCTGCGACCCTGGTAACTTTCAACCGGCATCGCTGAACAATTCTGAAACATTCTGAAACAGATTCCGATAGCATCTTCATTTTATTATAATAATGATAATACTTTGTTGTTTTCTTATTTTTGTGGCTTAATCTATTTTACCATAATTAATTAATTAATATACATAATCTACCTATCAGGACTCGGCTGTTCAGCACTTACGGTACCAGCTTACTTTTTAATAAATGGTTAGTACTCTTTCACAACGCACGCACACGGCTAAGTTTATTACACCCGGTTTCTGAAAGGCTTGTCAACGCTAATATTAACTAATCTCCTGTTAAATCTCTTGTCAAGTCATCTGATTGGTTGTTGATAATTCAGTCAACCAATCAGATGACTTGACAAGAGATTAAATTGATTTTAACATTGATCGGCCTTTCGAAAACCGGGTGTTAGTTCTTTTATATTTATCTACTACTTATTTATTTAACGTGTTAATGTCGCTTAGTTTTTACAAGCTAGCTAAACGCTTATCAGTTCAAATTCTTATGATCTGCTATCTACATATTCTGTCTTATATTATCTGTATATAGACAA